TGAAAGAATATGTTTTGACTAATACATGATGATAAAAAATTTGCCGGGAAACCGCCTACTAATTCATATATTTGGTAAATTTGTTTCTCTCATGGTCTGTGAGAGATATAGGGTAGTCCCATATACATCTTTCTGTGTATAGTGCTTGTAACTTTACGAAGAATGGGCCAACTTTCTTATCATTTTGATGATTCCAGAATCTTGCAGATGCTAGATGCTAGATGATCAACCTTTTCTGATCGATTCCACAACGTTTCTTTCACAATGCAATCGCATGACCATAACTGGTCTTTACCTTTAAGAAACGATTCGAAGAGCAAACAAATAGTAATAAGAAAGAGAGAGAGAGAGGAGGGGGAGAGAGACAGAGAGGGAGGGGAGAGTTAGAGATAGGGAGAGAGGGGGAAAGAGAGAGATAGAGAGAAAGATAGGAACGAATAATTTCCAGATTAAAGTTAAAGTTAAAGTTAAAGTTTCTTCTACCTCATGCAACCTTATTCTTATTATTTAATACGCTAGTACTCCCATACACAACATATTGTATGGACTAATTGCGGTTCGACTAAAATCAATTCTATTTTTAAATTAAAAAAGAGAGCTGTCCGTATTTGTACAGAATCACATTATTTTGGCTCACATAGACCCCTTATTCTCTAAACTTAGAACACTAAAATTGTTTGATTTGAATACTATTCAAGTAGCAGTTATTATGTTCAAGTATATATTAATAAACAACTTCCACCATCCTTTGATAACATGTTTAGTTTCAATTGTTCTGTTCATTCCTACCCCGCATATCTAGAAATTTCCATCTAACAAACCCAAATTATTAATTACGCACAAATCCATTAGACATTGTGGTCCGGATATTTGGAATAATTTTCCCGACAAAATCAAATTTTGCTCAACCCTCTATTCCTTGAAAGCCACACTTAAACGAAAAATAATACAATCATATGTGCCAAACGCTTTAAATTAGTATAATAGCTTTGTCCGAAACCATGATTTAATATTCCTTTTTACTCAAATGCCGTCTGCTGCACCCGCAAATGCAATTGCACGGCACCCACTTGATCACTACATTTACCAAGGGCGTGTTTATGTTTCACTTTTTCTGGCCAGAATCAGGCATCTGTTACGCGTTTAGTTTAAAACACGGTTGCGTCCATGCTCACTTTTGTAGAATCACCGAAAAAACGGCGATCACGATCGCCGATCGTAAACTCACAAAAAGATGCGTTTACAATTTGTAAACGCGTTTAAATGGGGTCAACGCACTGACCTCTAGTGGGTCTACGTAGCATGCACAGTGAAGGTTTGCGAATCCAGCTGGAAGACCAATTAAGGCCACACAGGGAGAATTGCCTGGAGGAGCCAGAGAAGTACACCGTGGAACTGCGATTACGATGAGCGTTTACGATGAGCGTTACAAATCGCTCATTCTGCTTTCAAAATTTAAGCATAAACGCAGCCCAAGAGAGTTTTGTTGCTAATTTTTTTTTTTTTTTTTACGAGGCCGCTGTCCATTTCCAGCCTAACCGCTCACGATGACGGTCTCCTGCGTTCTGAAATGAAACAAATATACAAATATCTGTTATACTTGTGTGTATGCTTTGTATTTTGTTTACTGTATGATATTATTAGAAATGATTTGCTATGTATGTAATACTTATGTAAACAATTTATAACCTTGTATTTGTTATTTGAACGCAGAAATAAAATCAATCAAACAAACAAACAAACATTTGAGAATTAAATAATCATTTTGACGCATTATTTTGGTTCGTTTAACTTTTGTTTGAACTCTATTGATGTACATGTACTTCATGATAATCCATTAACTGTAAACAGGTACATTGCATTTCATTAATCATGTGTTGTTGTTTTTTTTACTCCAATATGAATTTTTTTTATTTGATAACACTGAGCATTCAAAGCAATCAAAACAAAACAAAAATCCTCTTCAATACATGAATATTAACTTCAGAAAAAATAATTGCGAACGAGGCTGAGCAGACCGAATGCTATCGCACATTATATCCCGCATACTAAGAATCTTGAAATCTGATTGGTCTAAACGAGGTCACATGGTCACTGATAGATACGTACTCCATGCGATAGGATTTTTGTACAGTAATTTTTTGCTGCTGCCCCACTTGCCCATTGAATAAGCGTAGCAAAGTAGGTCACGCGAAATGTCAATGTCAATGTCAAATGAGCGTGCTTTGTAAAATCTAGCTGAAGCTAAACTGTCTGCAGAATCAGTTCTTTTAATTATGTAAAATTCACTTTTAATATACCTTATGGCAGATGTGGGATATAAAACAATAATAACCTCCTTTACTCGGGCAATGGATACACACTATCATCGCCTCGGTGATGATAGTTTGTACCATTACCCTCGTAGTCAATTAATATTTGCTTACTATTGCGCGCGTAGTGAAATCTAGAATATACGCGCGGTAAATGGCAGACTTGTCGAATCGATGGTACAATTTCGCATAATACTTTTTTTTCAATTTGAGTTCGGGAGCCGGTGTGAAGGTTGACAATTTGTCTAAATTGCTTCTGTTTATTTTTGTTTACATATTACTAAGTATCATGCCAAACAAACGTGGTTGCATTTTCCGCCCAAAGAAAATGCACAATTTCAGTGGTCATCCCAAAGTCTAGTTTGGTCGGGTGGTCGCGGTACCCGACCTTTTGTGAACACATGCTATAGTTAGGTACACAGGCGGCTCCAACAGGGAAATGGTGTTCACCTTAGAGATAAAGTTGAGTTCTGGTCATGTGATTGCATTGTGAAAGAAACGGTGTGGAATCTATCAGAAAAGGTTGATCATCTAGTATATAAGTATTCGTGTGTATTTCAAGGTTCTGAAATCATCAAAATGATAAGAAATTTGGCCAAATCTTGGAAGAGTTACAAGCACTGTACACAGAAAGATGTGTATGGGACTATACGCACACATGCGCGACACGTGCGTTTATCTCTCACAGACCATATAAATAAACTAAAAAATACCAAATATATCAATTAGTTGGCGGTTTCCCGGCAAAATTGTTATCATCATGTATTAGTCAAAACATATTCTTTCACATGATTGGTAATAAGAGCTTTCATTTCATTTTTTGAAATTGGGGCGTTTCCAATACTGGTCTTTACCTTTAATTTGATTCCGGATTCCTGAGTAAAAGTTGATGCTAAAAACGATGCCGCCGATTGATTTTTGAAATTGGTGCCCGAAGTGCCCAAATGTTATGTTTTTAGGGGCCCACTAGTGTTTTGATGCATGTCAGAACATTTTAGATGCTGCTTGTAAGTGTCGGCTTGCAAGGTGATGTAGTGTCAGAGTCATTTTCAGTACTCCTCAATCCTCTCTCTCTCTCTCTCTCTCTCACATGGTGCACCCGCAAGCCTACTGTATAATAATTATTTTGGTGTAAAAAATCCACTATGAACAATACAGTGAAATGTGGTATAGACCACAGGGGCCACGGAGTTGCTCCAAAAGGGCCCAAAGGACCAGCAACTCTATAGACAGTCAAGAGGATTGCTTGAAAGGGATAGTTGAGTTATATTGCAGAGGGCACTACACAAAATAATTTTTTGTGAGACAATGAAAAACTGAGTGTCAAATTTGAAAGAACATAATATTTAAATGACAAAATCATCTTTGTTTGATCAAAATCGGCTCAGAGACGGCTGAAATATAACGATTTCTAATACTTGTGTACCACCACAAATATTAGATATTTAGAAAATATGAAAAAAAAACCGTTGAAAAAACGAAATAACGCCTTTTACGTCGTATTATTACGCATAACCAGCCAGCCCATGTATTGTTATTTTTAATTAAATAATTAATTAACGGTCACCGTGTTTTTTTGAAAATGGAGATGAATTGGTATGCTCGTATTGGCTAAATTTTACACATTTTGGGGTCTAAAATTACCTTCATAGCAATTTTAGGCTCTAAAAAGGCATGAAATGTCATAGATAAGAATAAGAGCAAAAACCATGCACTTTGAAGGCATTTGCGGTCTGAAAACAGAACTCAACTATCCCTTTAAACTATTTTCTGGTGTAATAGGATCACATTAAAATGTCTATTTCGGTATACTCAAATACTCAAACACTCAAACAGAAGAAGTATCGATCTTTTCCTCAGTGACAACCTACACTTCTCCACTAGCTTTGACTGTTATTTTTAAGGATCTTTAGCAAAGTATCTCCAGGTAGATTCTTACCAGTGGTAAGTAAAATCAGATCCTTTTTAGATTTCCACGAATACATGGGCCTAAAACCGGAAAGGCCCCATCCCCATATAGCATATAGACACAATCATATTATATGAAAATTTTCTGTTAGTAAATGTTCTGTTACTTGTTTGCTTGTTTGCCCAAGAGTTAATGGTGGGTGTTACCGTTAGGCTATTACCATGGTAACGGATCAGGAATATTTGTACTAATTAAAGCAGTATCTAGAAACATTTAGAGGATCATCCCTGATAATGTATTAACCACAATGTAGGGGTATAAACCAATGTCTAAACGTTTTTTTTTTTTTTGTCTTGAGGTTATGATTGGTAAGTAGGCCTACCCCTTTTCCCAGAAAGTGCCCTTTTTGTTGGTTGCACCCTTACTTTGAAAGACGCTCCGCCGCCCCTGGTAGAAATGTATGAGTGGTTTCGGAAACCATCTTAACATTTTTTTTAAAATTTGAAAGTCACATAAGTTCATATAAAGACAAAATTCGTGCGTACATGTGTTTCTGATTATATAGATTTCAATGATTTCATATATTAAAGGGTAAGTCCACTCTTAAATTAACTTCGTTTTAACCCGTTGACTACTAAATTATTATTACCATAGGCTTTACACAGGGACCACCAGGTTCCAGTAGGCAATGAGTTAATAAAAGAAGAACAATGAAAGAACATATGAGTGAAAGTTTGAGCAGTATCTGATTAAACAGAGGGCGCCCTATTATTTCATCGATCATGCATTTAGCTCCAGTTATGGCATTCTCCACGGTTTTGGTTCTATTACAACATTAGTAACAATTTTCTTTGAAAACTGGACTTGATCTATTTTCGTAATTTACGTGCAAGCATCACTAGAGGCGTTTTTTAGTAACCGAAAGAAGGAATAACGAGTTCAACAAAGAGTAAGTGAATGTTCACGTTCAATTTCCATTGCAGGTATGGCCGCCCCTTACACGTCTGCCACTACGGGGCCCAATGCTTCAATTGCCGAGTGAAAGTGCGATGCTCAAAGATATTTGGATGAAAATGCCACTGCTTGAATCTTTAGTAAACAAGATTGATAAACTTTGCCTACGTCTGGACATGGCAGAGTCTAGCATCAACACGCTCCAGAAGCATTACACAGATCTGAAAAATGGTAAGGGCCATTTCGAAACCGAAGAAGAGGAAATGAAGTGTGAGGAAGACAAAATGGCCGAGAAGACGGCCATTGTATCGACACCTGACTGAAGGAATTATTGATTTATTGAATAAGCTGGACTTAAGGTCATTAGACAATGAATCTGTTTCTCTTTGTGAAGGGTCCATAACTGAAGAAGAATGCTATGAAGCATGCTATGAAGCAGTCAAAGACTTGCCATCAGATAAAACACCTGGCACAGATGGGCTACCTGCTAATTTCTATAAAGAATTTTGGGTTGATAAAAAAAAGATTCTCTGTAGACTGTTCAACCCGTGCTATCAGCAAGGAGAACACTGCTCTTCAATGAGAAGAGGAGTGATTACACTTCTCCCCCATAAAATATTTAAAAATACCTTGAGTTTAAACAAATTGTGACCCATATCACACCTAATTACCTAAACACGGACTACAGCATTTTGGCTAAATTTCTAGCCAACAGGGTAAAATTATTGATGGAGACCAAACTGTTTTTTTTTAATCGATAAATTGGTAAAAACATACGCCTTTTCATTGATAATTAATATGATACATCATTATAGGCAAGATGGTTTGCAAGGCCCAGCTTTATATGTTGACTTCGAAAAAGCGTTCGACGCCATTGAATGTTTACTTTTTAAGTTTTCATGTAAAGTGCTTACAAGTCATGAGTTTGTTAAGCGCTATATAAATGTTTTACTATTATTATTGTTATTATTATTATTATTGTTGTTATTATTATTATTATTATTATTATTATTATTATGCTACAGATGGCAAAAAGGACTCGACCCATCCTTGGATTCTTGATGTTGCTTTCTGCAATCGCTATCATCATAATGTGGTGGAACGATGACATTATATCTATGAATCGTCTTGCTGCAGTAATACCTCTGTCGATTAAAAACGTAAGAATGCTCTATTTCATGCTTTAACTAAACAAGTTTACAGCCGCGGGTCAGTTCCTACTTTGCACAGGGTACACATACTAATAATGGGTTCTTGAATACACACTCCTGTTCGAAAGGACAAAGGACAGTTGTGTCGCGGTGGGAATCGAACCGCGAATTATGTAATCCATATTTCTGTGACGTATTCCCTTAATCACCATACCTGCAAAAACATATTTCTATCCCAAATGAACCCAAAAATATCCTACACACGGAGAGGTCCCGTATTTGAAATGTTAGAATAATCAGTTCTTAAACTGATGAAGGCTTCATGAATAAACTTTGTTTCCCCTTTGGAAAAGAAAATTTTCATCAGAGAATGAATAAATATTTCATAAGTTTCATACGTACGTACCCATTTTTCCCCACTTGACCTGAGGTGACCCTTGACCCCACATCGTTAGACGCCGAGCTCACTCTACTTGGACACAAGACATTGGTTCGAATTCACAAAGGAGGTTTGTCGACAAACCTTGGTTTTCGTACGTCATATGACGCGTTTTTACGCGTTTTTTTAGAAACCTGGTTTGTAAAAACGCGTAAAAACGCGTCATAATTATGACGTACGAAAACCAAGGTTTGTCGACAAACCTCCTTTGTGAATTCGGGCCAGTAGGGTTCAATCCCCCATATCCTAAAAGCGTGCACACTCCCATGCATTGGTCTACATGCCATTTGGTCTGTATTAATTTTGTCTAATTACCACTTTATTTTTCCTAGTTTGTCCAATATCAATTTGCTCTAATAGCGGTTTCGGATAAACCCATTTCGTCCAATATCCTCTTGGTCCAATCATCACTTTTTCGTCATGACTACTCACTACTTCGTCCATTGACCAATACGTCAATATTATTTCGTCCAATCTCTAATTGGTCTAATAATCATTTGGTCCGATTCTCAGTTTGTACGGCCATGCGTTATGGTTCAAGGCATGGCCACACAGAGGATTTTTTTTTCTGTTGGGGACCGGGGGAAATGCAATGAATTTTTGATAATTTATTGCAGTTTCTTTGGGTTTTTTTATTTGTGGAGGCAGCCCCCTACCCTAGCCCCCGTTAGTTGCGTACAATAATATTTCAGTGGCAAAGCAATGGCCTCGTAACTGTGAGGCCCCAGGACAGGGGCGTAGACAACGGGGGGGGGGGGGGGTGATGAGGGGGATGGCATGTACAGTCATCCCCCCAGGTTTTGGGGAATGATATTTGCTTACTTAATAAGTCATAATGATGATAATAATAGTAATAATAATAATGATAACAATTATAATATTAATAATAATAATAATTATGATGATGATAATAATAATCCTCATCATTATTGTAATTGTGTTTATTGTTATTAGCCGCATTCACACGGTGAAAGCCAATTCAGACGGTAAAAAAAAGAAAATCTTACAAGTATTTTGTGGTTATCTTGTGGTTTGGAAACCACAAGATAACCACAAGATTAAACAGGCGCGGATCTACGGAGGGGGGGGGGTTAGGGGGTTTAAACCCCCCCCCCCCCTTGGGCGGCCCAAAAAACAAACAAAAAAAAAAGGGGGGGAAAAAAAGAAAAAAAAAAAAGAAAGAAAGAAAAAAGAACGCACGCTGGAGAGAAACCCTTTCAAGTGCAAATATTGTGAGAAGATATTCAACTCATCTGGTAACTTAACCAAACACATGATAACTCTGGATATAACTGTGTATTTAACTGTTACTTGATTTAAAAAGACGTTATCATGCACTGCTTTTTATGGTCTCCATTGTGTTAATAGATGCCAGGAAAACATCACTTACGGGGTTCAAATAAACACCCCCAAAAAAATCTGAGAATGTATATATACTATTATCTAGATCTATTAGGAATAAATCATTGTCAAAATTATTCCATAAATTGGGATAACAAAATTATTCCACCTTTATGACCAACAGTGTAGATGCGTTATGCCATATGGGTTCGTACACGAATTAAACTGTATCCAATTTTGTTAGACCCCATTAGACTAAATGGTACTTAAACAAAATGGTTATTAGACCGAGTGATGATAAGACTAAATGATGGCTGGACCATAATATGGTTATTAGACCAAATGTGTTTAGACCGTTTGATATTATAGACTTAATAGCGATTAATAATGGTAATGGACCAAATTTTTATTGGTGGTCCAAGGGGCAAATAACATCGATGGAAAAAGTGACTGAATCGGCAGTTTCCACGTGCAGAAGGCCATAATTTGCTGACACCAGACTTGGTGGGAGTACAAACCAATCGCTCGGAGAGCTTCGGGTGAGGGAAAAATGAAGCATTACATAAGGTCTAATGGTCATAAAACTGAAGGCTAACTCTGGTGATTGACAACACCTGTTATTGGGTAAACACCCGAACGGTGTCGAATTCCCCATGAGAGCTAACTTCTATCCCCCTGTCCACACACAACATTTTCCGTGATTAGGCGTGATTAGTTATACCGTTTCGCGATAGTGATACCGTTTCGCGATAGTTTTTCGATGAAATTGTGTGTGTGGACGCTCACTAACGATACGTCGTATAAGAGGTCTGGTCTCCTTTCGCTCGAGGTCACGTTAAGCCCCGCCCAGTTAGTTACACTAGTTACACTCCCCCTGTCCACACACAACATTTTCCGTGATTAGGCGTGATTCTTTCGAAACGATGCCCAAACCTGCGTTTCGTTAGACTAGTTTCGTTATACGACGTATCGTTAGTGAGCGTCCACACACACAATTTCATCGCGAAACGGTATAACTAATCACGCTTAATCACGGAAAATGTTGTGTGTGGACAGGGGGACTATCGCGAAACGGTATAGCTAATCACGCATAGCTTTAAATGGCGATTGGCAGATTGTACCTACTACACGGTAGTTATTAGTCCGAATGATGATAGGGTGAAATGTTGCTTGGACCACCTGTATTGTGGGCGAACTGGGTATAGGCCAAATGAAGTTGTACGATATGGGTATTGGGCCAAAAGGCTTTGGACCAAATAGCAAGACAAACAAATTGATTTTTAGTCACCCTTCCTTTCTTTTCATGAAAAAGAAAGCCCAAAACGTGACGAGCTATATTTCTTTCCCCCTTTGTCCCTTTCTTTTTTAGAAATTTGTGATTGAGAAGAATCCAAAATCGTTTTTTAAATTGTTTTGTTTTGTTTCGTTTTGCTTCGATTAGTTTTGTTTTGTTATGTTTGGTTATGCAAATGTACATCTCGACATGCTAATTAGAAAATTCTTTCCCAGATGCATGCAAAGCGACCCCCCCCCCCCCCTCATAAAAATCTAGAACAAGTCTGTGGGTATCGTGCTTATCCTTATTTCTGAAACACACACGTGACACATCTCCATGTATAAAATGTCGGGGGCATGCTCTGAAAGAACAATTTTATTGTGAAAAGAAAATTGTAACATTCAGAGAAGGTTGAGTTCTGGGAAGAGGTGAAAAATAATTTGTGAGCGTTGACATTTTTATTAAGCAAGTGTGGAAGAACATCAGATAAGACATGTTCCCTGAAAAGCAAGGCTCTTCAAATGCCTTCATAATCTAAATATGTCATGTAACATCGTAAAAATCCAGGGTAGGATTTTTACGCCACGTGTTCGTGTAGTCCTATATACATCTTTCTGTGTACAGTGTTTGTAACTTTACCAAGACTTGGCCAACTTTCTTATCATTTTGATGATTCCAGCACCTTGCAATACACACAAATTCTTATACGCTAGATGATCAACCTTTTTTGATTGATTCCACATCGTTTCTTTCACAATGCAATCGCATGACCAGAACTTAACTTCATCTTTAAAACTTGTTACCCAAATATTTATTTATTTATTTTTTATTTAAAATGGTTTATTTCATTAAAAAACATTCGCGGCCCGAGAGCCGAATTGCAGTTTCTTTTACAAGGTATACATCAGTGACAAAGTAAAATTACACGTAAAACATTATGCATGGTAGCATTATGGTAGTAAAATTGGAATTCTTTTGTACAAATGATATATAATTATGCTTTAACGACCTTGGCAAATTGCTTGGTACATATACAGAAATTCGAATTGTATTACCATATTTGCAATAAAATGATATATTAAACTTATACAATACATGAATAGCAATACATTTTTGATATTCAAAAGAATTAAATGTTTTGGTTGGAAAATGCATAGCCAGATGGGTAAGGTATAGTTATGGTGTTATAACAGGGACAACAGGGACAACAACAGAAACCAAATCCAGGAATTATAAAGTCAAATAGATGCTCCAATGATTTAAACAGATTATACAAATTATACATTGTAGGTAAAATGCAGAACATTTTGTATTTGGGCCAATTTAGTAAAAGGTACATGTAGAATATTGCATAAAAATATGGTAAGATAAGTTTCGCATACAAACATGGGTAAAAGGTTGCCATTGTAATATTCGATATAATCATCTTGGGAATCGTTAAAAAGTCAAACAGGATTTTGTACAATTAAATCTGATTTAGTTTAAAAAAAGTAAAATTCTATAACATTATTCAAAAATGCATTCACATGTCATCCTTTTATCTAGGAAGTTATCTCAGAGAAATAGAGAGAGAGATAGAGAAAGAGAGAAAAAAGGAGAGTGAGAAAAGGGAGAGAGGGGGTGAGGGTGGGAGAGAGATAGGAAGAGATAGGGAGAGAAAGAGAGCTAGAGAGAGAGAGGAGAGAGAGAGAGAGAGAGAGAGAGAGAGAGAGAGAGAGAAAGAGAGGGAGGGGAGACAAAGAATGAGAGTAACAAGACAGAGAGCTAGAGAACAATTGGAAGCCATGAAGAGGGTCTCCCCGCTCCGCAGCACAGCACTGACAGAGAGGAGAAAATAGGGATATTGAGAGAGTGAAAGTAGTAGAGAAAAATGAATGTGTTCGTCGAAGGTGAAACTGGTAATTATTCAGTACTATGAGCGTTTAACAATCTGACTAGATATGGCAACGGACTGTTTCTATACCGTGTCGTTTTGCATGACATTTCAGTGAGCTTGCTTGTATTTCTCAGATAAAAATAGTTTTACAATGGGTATATAACAAGCGCCTGACAAATCCCCTATTTTAAAGAACAAAGACCAGTATTGGAAACGCCCCAATTTCAAAAAATGAAATGGAAGTTCTCATTACCAATCATGTGAAAGAATACGTTTTGACTAATACATGATGATAAAAAATTTGCCGGGAAACCGCCTACTAATTCATATATTTGGTAAATTTGTTTCTCTCATGATCTGTGAGAGATATAGGGTAGTCCCATATACATCTTTCTGTGTATAGTGCTTGTAACTTTACGATGAATGGGCCAAATTTCTTATCATTTTGATGATTCCAGAACCTTGCAGATGCTAGATGCTAGATGATCAACCTTTTCTGATCGATTCCACAACGTTTCTTTCACAATGCAATCGCATGACCATAACTGGTCTTTACCTTTAAGTTGATTTATTACCATTAATATTTTCAGCACTGACCTTGGGACCATTACTTGTAAATATGGTGATTTTAGTTTTATCCCACTACTCCATGACTGTCCCAAATTCACTCTTAGTTTGCGGAACTCCCCCCCCCCCCCTCCCCTCCCCCGTCCCGTTCAAGACCTCATTTTAAGTGATTAATACAATGAAAACAAAATATGAGGAGGGTTTCTTATTTTGTATTATTATACCATACAGACATGGAGAGGATGCAATATGCAGTAGTAAGGTTATAAGTCTCGCGTCATTATTCGTCTCCCGTTTCACCCTATTCACCCCATAATGAATTTACACATGATTTATGTTTTATTATAGGGGGTGATATCATGTAACCTGGACAAAACATCGCCTGTTGAACCTGAAACTTTGCAGAACCATCCTTTATGTCCGAATCGGAAACGGAAACATTTTCCTCATTTCTCTTATCCCCCCGCTACACCAAGGCAATGGATTACACAAATGGACACTACAAACAGTACCTTCAGCCAATTTACCATCGTCAATGACACGGAATCTTATTCTGTATGCGACCAACTCGAACTCTTAATCGAAGCACGGAACGGCTACGATGAGCCCAAGACTTACGGTGGAGATCTATTTCGTGCCAAGATCTTCACTCGGAACGCGTCTTTTAGTGCAGGCTCGGGAACAGATGGTGAGGTCATTGACCTCGGAAATGGGAAGTATAGCGCCCTCTTCACTCTGAAGTGGGCCGGGGATGTCAGTATCAATGTCATTTTGGCAGTCCCTAGTGAAGCCGTTTTCGAACTACAAAACCTGAAGGAAACACTGCAGCCTCGTGAGAATTATTTGGGGAAATTTGAGAAGGAGATAGATGGAAACAATGTAGAAGAAGATGTGCTATGTGGTCCCGTGCCCGAAAGAAGATTGGTAATTCATTGAGCTTTTGTTATCCCTTCTGCAAACGAGGCGTCATTTCTTGACGTTGGAATACGTCATCAAGTGAGCAGCCTTTGCTTTGAATAATGGCGCATGTATTTTGTATTCGTCTGTGTAAACTATATATTAAAGATGAAGTTGAGTTCTGGTCATGCGATTGCATTGTGAAAGAAACGGTGTGAAATCGACCAGAAAAGGTTGATCATCTAGCATATAAGAATTTGTGTGTATTGCAAGGTTCTGGAATCATCAAAAGGATAAGAAATTTGGCCAAGTCTTGGTAAAGTTACATACACTGTACACATAAAGATGTATATGGGACTACACGAACACGTGGCGTAAAAATCCTACCCCCGATTTTTACGGTGTTACATGACATATTTAGAATATGAAGGCATTTGAAGAGCCATACTTTTCAGGGAACATGTCTTATCTGATGTTCTTCCACACTTGCATAATAAGAATGATAACGCTCACAAATTATTTTTCACCTCTTCCCAGAACTCAACCTTTTCTTTAAGCTTAGCTAATGACGTAATCATACTGACGCCTCGTATGCAGCAGGCAAAAGAATATTCATTTATTCAAAAGCGGTGAATAGACCTGTTTATTAACATATTGAAATTTCCTACATACTCTTTAAATGTTGTTCTTGACAATCTAATAGCTGGTTTGAGGCTTTCTCGACATAGAAACAATTGATGTATGCAGGCTGGATACCAAGTATTGTCGTTCATTAATTAATAAATGGCTAACGGAATGTCTCGTCACTAGGACAGAAACATCTATGGAATTTAATATGATAGTAAACCGGTCTATTAAGTAGCGATGAACCATTTGTTTAGGGCTAACTGTTCTGGCAAGATATTTAGCCTCCTACCTTTTTAAAATAATAATAGTAGTTTTAATATAGTAAAGAGCTAGAGATCATCCAAAAAAATGTGGGAAGAGGGGTAAACAATGCACGAAAACATGTAAGAAAAAAAAAGAATAGATACAATATATAAAAGAATGGATAAATATATAAGTGAATAAATAAATATATAAAATAATAAATAAATGAATAAAGAATGGCACAAATAAAAAATAACGACAAATTGATAAAAACAAAAATATAAATAGAATTAAATAAAAAAGCAAAGTGGGTACAACATTCCCTGGTCATTTGAGGTGTTTATTTGCCCAAAAGACATCTCTTAACCCCTTAAAAAATTAATGAATCAAATACATAATTCAAAAAGAAAATCCATACATTTTGTAAATGTATCTTTAATTTATCTTCAACGTCCCCCCCCCCAAAAAAAACAAAAAAACAACAACAAACAAACAGCGCAATTACTTTCGAAAAATCGACTTAAAGAGAAGGTTGAGTTCTGGGAAGAGGTGAAAAATAATTTGTGAGCATTACTCATCCTCATTATGCAAGTGTGGAAGAACATCAGATAAGACATGTTCCCTGAAAAGCATGGCTCTTCGAATGCCTTCATATTCTAAATATGCATGTAACATCGTAAAAATCGGGGGCCGGCTTTTTACGCCACGTGTTCGTGTAGTCCCATATACATCTTTCTGTGTGCAGTGTTTGTAACTTTATCAAGACTTGGCCAAATTTCTTATCATTTTGATGATTCCAGAACCTTGCAATATACACAAATTCTTATATGCTAGATGATCAACCTTTTCTGGTCGGTTCCACACCGTTTCTTTCACAATGCAATCGCATGACCAGAACTAAACTTCATCTTTAAGGCAACTTCAAAAAGTCTTGTAAATACCTTTAGAAATGGGCGAACATTAAAATGATGTAATACGTATTGATTTCTATAGGATATACAATAGGGTATTGACATTGCCCTCGAGTTGATTTCCCGAAATTAGTTACGATCGTGTATAATGCGATATATAACAACTGTTCTGTTATTTTATCCTGGGGGGTGTTTCACATAGACCAAGATCGACTTTAAGTTGGACATAACTATGACAGGCTGTTCATGCCATTGTTTGCTCTCACGATTTAATGGCATTGGTCTCTCAAGGGACGTACAACTCATGGTCACAAATGTACAGAATTTATATTTTTGATAATTGATTAATGAAGGGAAACATATTATCTAAAGATCATAATTGAGAGACCATTGGTGACAGCAACCAGTGGCATGATGAATAGCCTGCCATAGTTAAGTCCAACTTAAAGTCATTCATAGTCTTTGTGAAACACTCCCATGGTGTTTGTGTCTTCTCACCTGATGCAGACGTCGATTTGCAACCTATCCAATCCTAGCGTGGGATTGACATGGTACTGTCAGAAACCCAAATCAAGCCTTCTCTCTTGCTCTGATTGGACAGCGTTTAGGACACTTGAATGGCCGTCCAACAAAAGGATTGAAGACGAAGGTTACAGCAGGAGATCGTCTGTAGTTCATCGGTAAGTGTTATGTTAGGAGCCTCGGTGATACGAGGGGCGCGTTGGATTGCAAGACAATTTTTAGGGGTATTAGTTTTAGGGGTAATTTTAGGGAAAGCGCGAAAGAGAGGGGGAAGGACGAGGAAAGCTGTCAATACGACCCCTTTATTTATTTGATTACTTGTTAAAAAATACATTTACCGAGCAAGAACTGTGTCTGCACCCCACCCCTCCCCTCACTCACCCATGATGTCATTTCCCGTCAAATACTATGAGCCACCCTGCCCCGCCATCTAAGTTGAGTGTGGACATTTAATTGCTAAAATACTAATTCTTTGATCAAATTTCAGAACATTCAATGGGGAAGTCCACTTTGATATTAAGTTGGTTTTCATAAAAGCTGAAAAATGTGAGAAACATTAATATTGCTTTATTAATGAAACTTTGAGCTATATTCGATTAAAATGATAAAGTTATTAATTTTTAACTTGTCATCAGTGAAGCACAAATTGGCAACAATGTGGCATATCTCTATTTTGCTTTGAACAGAAAATGTCATAAACTTCCATTTTCTTAGTTATTGACCACGATATAGATTCGTTTCATACGGGGTTGTATACAAACATATTTGCAACAATTATATTCAGGGTAAATGTGTAATTTTCTTAAAGTGACTTGGTAACATTGTTGAAGGTTGATAACAAAAAATTGCTTAATTTTTGTATAAAATGTTACTTATTATATTCCTTCTACTATACTAAACCTCTGAAATGCAAAAAATATTGAACAAATCCTCAAACCACGAAGATATCTACGGTTTTCTTTGAAGCGTCGATGTACGACACCCTCTAACACTGAGTGATTAAGAGTAAATTCTCCCAACCATTTTTGAATTTTCCCAACCGTTTTTCCATGAAAAAAAGACATAAAACACGCTATAAAAAATCTGTCAGCACTTAAATGTCTGGAATGGAATGTAGAGCCGTTTTATTGCTTTGTGAGATTTCCATTCACCTAAAATGTAATTAAATATTTTAATAATATAGTTGGGAGAATTAAGGAATCGATCATATCAGTTTTTCCCAATTTGTACCATGAACAATGGTCCGTTTTCACTCAAATTTTCAGATTATCTTTAATTGTACATCTAGCATTGAAGTCACTACCTTAGCACCACTATCTCTCATCTGAACAATGTTACCAAGTCCCTTTAAGGGAAACTATAAGTTGCCAATTTGTGTTTGATTGGTCATGTGAAAGAAAGCTTATACTTGCCAAGACCCAATATCTCATCAGTATTGTCTTTTCGACAGCAGATACAATGGAAGACGATGTAGGACACTGTCTGCTTTCTTATTATCCTGGAAAAGCTGACAAGATCCATGCACCCACTTCAAATTCACTCTCCATTTGTTTACTTTTCCCCTCCATGTTTCATGTAGCCCTGCAGTTCGAATCAAGGGCTTCCCTAAACACGTGATAGTAAACAGCAAATCAGGTGACTTTATAAGTGAACAAGTGGATCGTCTACCAGTGTGTGGCCAACAACATGACAGCCTTCAAGTTATACCGTGGGTGGCGGGCTTCTACCAGAATAAACGTTGGTATCCTCCCACTTGCAAAGTGAATCACTTCCCATCAGACGGTCCAGAGCGAAAGAATTGCCTGGCCAACAAGAACGTCTACTTTTATGGCGATTCGACCATCAGAATTGTGCACTCTAATTTGATTAAATCATTATTTGGAGCCAATTTAACGGTAGGGAAGGAGGAACACGACATTCATTTACATTACCGCTTCCATCATATTCCTATACGCAAATTTTTCTGGTATAAATTAAGTACCCTTTATTTCATTACCAATGAACTGGACGGAATCGGGTCTAATGAGACTGCGATTGTTGTCATATGTTTGTGGGCGCATTTTCAACCTCTATACAGGTCCTTTTACGAGCAGCGGATTAAATCCATCGCTGACGCTGCCCTGAGGCTACTGAACAGAAACCCAACGGTAGTTGTCATGTTTAAGGGTGGAAATACCCAAACTCCGTACGGGCCGAGGGTCCAGTATCTAAATGATCACTACGCACGAGACAATGAAGAAGCCCTTAGACGCATCCTCAAGTCTTATCCAAAGATACATTTTCTGGATGCTTGGGATATGAGTAAAGGACAACTTGGCAAACCGAATACCCATCCTCCGAAACCTCATGCCTCAAACTTGGTCGACCAAATGTTGACAATAGCTTGCCCTAGAGATGTTTGAACGGAGCAGATTGATGTTGAGTCCTGGTCCTGAACAGTGGGACTAGGTAAGAAACTAAACTGGTCTTGATAAACTCTCGGCTCACTTCGTTCCATAAGTCTTAGCGTTTTGGGGTTACATGTTCATTCGTGGATTATCAAGTCCTTATTTCCAAAGGGTCAGGTGTAACGTTTGTGAAATACAATGGTCTTATCGCCAAAGCGTTGGGTCAGGTTACCCGACACTTTCTGAAAAATAAGCCTACAGTAAATCTACGCAAATCCGCGTCTCGACCCTATTCTTTTTTACGCAATAAATAATTACAAGAGTTCGTTAAAAGGTTAGCGGTGGATATTTCGTCATTGTATGGGCATATTTTCACAAAAAGGAACATGTACAAACAATTAGCCTTTAGTTATCTCAAGGACCATCTTTGAACATTTTTGAATTATTTGCATTCAGTTTAACCAACCTTTCGTGCATATGGTGGTGGGGGGGGGGGGGGGGGCATGTTTTCACAAAATGTAGTGACAACGTAAATGACCCGACTTTCGTGCATGTGGGGGTATATTTTCATGAAAGGCCGTGTAACCCGACAATCCGACCCGACGCGATGACCCGATGGAACGAAGTAAGCCGACTTCATGGACATGTTCAGTGATGTAAGAGAATTAACACACGCTTCTATGAGGCGTCCGCTATCTAAACTTAAAGGTAATAAAAAGTTTTGGGATGGGGTCATGAATTTGGTTCAAATGAACATATTGGAAGCATATGCGATCCTACAATATTCAGGGATCGTTGTTGCGGTTGAAATCGAGTCTAAAGTTATGAAATTGTAAATAATAAACTCTTTATGTTGTATAGCTCCCTCTCAAGGTCAAGATATTAATTAAGCCATCAAACGATGTTTCTTGACTAAAATCGACCGATTGGCTATTCCCGTTTGGAAATTACATACCACAACTACACATTCTGAGATTTTCATGGTCGCAGTTACCATTGTATGGCCGTAAGCGGTATTTGAAATTTATCAACATTTACCGGGAGCACCGGTCAATTGTTATATTCAATTTTTCTCGAAAGCAGAAATGTTTTAGGGGCTAAATTTCCTTGTGCTTATAATTCATTCACAGGGTCATCCGAATATATCAAAATTGTACAGAATCACTATCCACCCAATTTTCAAAATTTCCCGAAACTTTGTATTACCTTTAAGACTTTTGATGGTTTCGAGAGATTGCCCTGTGAATCTAGTGCAGTTGTCAAATTGACTTCTAGAATTTTGAGTGGAACTTGAAAACGGTGTGCTTTTTCTTTTAGACCATACGGATTTATCACCTCCTTCTCTTGGATGTATGCAAATTAGTTTTTACATGATTGTTTGTAAAGCTTCTTTGTCTCAAAATTGTAATCCTGTACATTTATTACCCTTAAATGCCAATTTAAGAATCCACTCTCGATACAGATTAGTTTTTCATATCTTATCAAAGTATATAGAGTCATTTTACGAAAGAACCTCACCCTAATTACAACATAAAAATATTCCAACTACTTTAGTATTATAAAATGCACTTAATAACAAGTAAAAAGGGTCTAAGGAATCCAAGCAGTGAAATTTATTGAAAATTAGGCCTACCCAGAATCAAGGATAAGTATCAACAGATAAAACACATAGGTAGGCCAACTCGGCGCTCGCCTAACAAAACGATACATATTGCTCCGGTTGACTCATTTTCGCCAGCACAAACGTAGCTAGTTCGCCGTCTATAGAACGTATATAGCAGACCGAAATCGGCGGATCAGACGACACTTGATATTGATCTGGTATGTGAGATTGCTTTGCTAAATATAAAATACAAGAACCTTTTCCATATCTTTAAACTATCATTGATATCTGATAATAAAACAGTTAGTAAAATAAACCTACCAAATTACATAATACAATGAAATACTTGACTGAAATTAGGGGAGTTTGATGTGGTGCATAATTGCACCCATCTGTTAATAATCGAATAGTCCAGGGTGTGAATATTCATGTTTTTTGCTTACCTCGTCAAAATGTTTGCCTATACTAAATGGAAAAATTACGGTGGGGGGGGGGGGGGGGGGGGGGTTGGCTGAAGTGGACAGAATGAACCAAACAGAACTGATCTATGATAATTCATGCTTCTTATCCTTCGTGTGCTTGACCTGCGTCCAAATCTTACAAACGCGTGGTAAATTGCGTCCAAAGTTCGACTTGTTACACATGCGTTCAGTAGTGTACGCACGATTTTTTCAAGGGAGGGGGGGGGGGGGGGGGTTTAACATTTTTAAATCGGGCCGAAAATTTTGCAACGACTCAGCCAGCCGCTGAATAAGCGGGGACGGGGGGGGGGGGGGTAAGGTCACCTTTTTAAGGTCAACCATTGCCATACATTTTTAAAAATTATTATTTGTTTAAATAAAAAGCGGGGGTTAATCCCCCCCCCCCCCCCTGCGTACGCGCCTGTATGTGTTATATATGCAATGGCGAGCTTACGACCTATTTTGATCAAATTACGGTGGGTGAACTTTCAAAAGTCAATGGGACATGAGGGTTCCAATGAAAGAGCTAGAGTCAACGTACGCCGGGTTGGATGTGCTTTTCGTTTAAACAAAAAAAAAGAATTTTTATGATTTTTTGGGGGGTAAAATTCCATATATAGGCTAACATGTCTATAGGCTGCTGACTCTGACAATAGGGGGCGTTCTCAAATGAGACTAAACGGAGCTACAGGTTGCATGCAGTGTGTGTGTGTGTTTGTATGTGTGTTTATGTGTGTGAAAGGGGGTGTGGTGTGGGTGGGCTAGAGGGGGGGGGGGGGGGGGGGGGGGGGGAGATGTCATGAGTTTGTTGGTGTGAGAGTGTGTGACAGGATGGTAATATGTAACTGTAAACCTTCCTCTACTGTTATTTTGATTATACACTGTTACATGCAAAACATGTTATGTTATGTTCATTGATAGATGTAACTCATGAAGTGTTTTGTATCAAAGATCTTGTTTTATATTGCTTATTTTGATAATTTCTTGTTATGTGAATTTCTTCTTATGTGAAATTATGAGGAAGGAAATACAATATCATTTAAAACAAAAATATGTGTGCTGTTGTCCAACTTAAAGGGAAAGTCCACCCTGAGATTAATTTAAGATTCATTAATTTTAAAAGAAAAAATAAATCGTAGAGCTTGTATTATTGTTGATTTCAACCGCCCCCCCCCCCAAAAAAAAAAAAAACAGAAAGAGAGAAAAGAAATGCTCACATACATTGAGTATCCATAGGCATAAGAAAAATACAGTAGAGTAGTGCATGTAGGGATAGAGGACTATGCTCAAACACCAACGAGCGGTCGAGGACTTCATGATTTTAAAACATTAGTACCTGTACAGTGTGAGTCAAAAACAAGTTTACACCTAGCAAATTGCTAATTATTTTTAAAAACATCTATGAAAAGTAAATTATTATACATCTCATGAAAGAATGTTTTATCCCAAATCATTTGGTATCATTTTTGTGTGGTATGTGTTCACGCTTGAATGAACAGGAGGCATTGTTTGCGAGAGTGCAAAAATCGACTTGCGCCAAAGTTGCTTATGTGATGTTTACATAAAACAATTGGGATTTAGGTATTAAATCGGTTTTTGCAGGTCCAAATAACATCCCTCACAAAATTAATTATGCCACACATATGAAATATCGAATATCAGATATCAACTATTGTGTGCGCTACAAAAAGCATACGCAATGCATTTCATTTGATACATTCATTTCATTCTCTCACTCCGCTAATCCCAACACAGTACATGCTGTAGGCATCACTTTGGCGCAAGTCGACTTTTGCACTCTCGCAAACAATGCCTTCTGTTCATCCAAACGTGCACACATACCACACAAAAATGATACCAAATGATTTGGGATAAAACACTCTTTCATAAGATGTATAATAATTTACTTTACTTATTTATTATTTACTATATTTATGTCTTCATTTGTATTGTCAATAATTATATTCGTGTAACTTTTTATTTGTTTATCTATTTCTGTAGTTCTTTATTCTTTATTTATTTATTTATCTATTTATTCATATTATTTAATCTTTACTTCTTTATGTGTTTGATTGTTGTTGTTGTGTTTGAAACTAACTAAACATACAGCTATAAATACATGTATAAAAGCACAGATAACATTTTGCACAATAACATTCCAATATTGTACTAATAGACTGCACAACCGCATTTCGTTGTTGTTTTTTGTTCTTATTTGGAAGTCTGCGAATGTGCTTGTTTAACAGCATTTCTCATATCGAAGTTCTACTGAACAAAATATCACATGATGTCAATGGAAAACAAATCTACCTGTTCTACCTCCCCCCCCCCCCCCCCCCCCCCATTCATTTCGGTATCTATTACATTACCCCTAATTGCAAAACAGTTAGTCGGCTTGGAGTCGATTAGGAGTCGTTGGATGACACTTGCAGTACTCAATGGTGATTTTCCTTTTTGTTAAGGCCTGTAAATAAAGACTAGGTCCCTGGGTGAACTTTGGGTCTGTGGTTTGCGAGTAAACAGTCGAAATTTGACAAACAACTCGCGTTATATATTTTTGTAAATGACGTAAAAATTGGGGCAATTTTTTTTTTAGTTGTGCTATGACATCGGTGAAAAGAAAAATCACAACAACAATTGTCTTAAAGACCGTCAATACTACTGGGCCAGAAGGGATAAGACCACACAGCGAGGTCACTGACAGGTGGCTATCTCATCATTAACTCAGCTCTCAACTAACATAAGAAAAAGAGGATCATGGGGGACCAACCGGCACCGATTGGGAAAGTTTTCTATATAGAAGGAGCAAGTAGCTACACGTAGGACAGTGGGGCTTAAAGACTTGGTATGGAATGTTCGTGACTTAGGAATCAATGTCACTCTCTTTTGACTCACAAAGAGAATTGGAATACAATATTCCGAGAGCCCAGTACAAAGGCTACCGTTTTCGCGAATGTCATTAAATTATGAAGTATTGTGGTAGCGTTATTGGTTTGTTATTGAGCATAATTGTTTATTCTATGACTATCTATTTGTGGAATGTAATATGATAGGAATGGGCGGGGCCTGTAGGTTGTTTGAGAACGCCGATCTCTCATGTAAACTATTGACCCCGCCCCTTTGTTACCTTTCATGAATTCGTATATGATTATGGGTCGTATACATGGGTACATTGGTTATTTGGTTAACCGCAGAATCCCTATCCATTGGAATCTACCTCGTACCATGGCTCATGCTTATAGGTTGTGTTAAGAAATGGAATGTTCACATGTAGTAGAAGTGTCATATTTATTTACATGTATACATATATGTAATATATATAGGTTATTTCTTTACAATTTTCACAGCTTTGGCAACAGTCGGGGAAATAAATTAATAATTGAATTGCTGCGAAATGAAATGTGAGAATAATGGCTGCTTATGTTATATCTGAGCACTCCATTCATGTACTTTTTTTATTCCAAAACCGAAGAAAGAAAAATCCAGTGCCAATCGAACCAAGGCGGTTAAATTGAGGGAAAAAACATAAAATATTGTCACAGTCCCCGACACGAATACCCCTCTGCCCCCCCACGTCTTTCGTATAGGATATTTAGTTTTTTACTCAATTTCTCATTTACTATAAATCTTTACAAAAAAGGGGGAATGTTCTCCATGAGTTTCTACACACTTTGTTATCGTGTTGTTACAAACG